GAGCTATTCAACATCCTTCATAATGACTGAAAACAAGGCCAGTGAGCTCAATCGGGTATAGTGGAGCTGACATCATACCATCGAGCCAAGTCTGCTGTTGGGGTTTATCAGCAAGCACCTAGTGGTGAGGTTAATCCTCGCCGGTTCTGGCCAGGCCAAACCCAATCAAGAGACGCAAAGTCATCCTCTGGTGGGCCGAACAGCTGCAGGGAGAACCATGAGGGGACAGATGCAAAAAGAACCACGCAGCATTTCGTGGGCCCCGGTGACCCAATCTTTGGACACCTAAACTGAGATTGGGGACATGGAGCTTCATCTCTCTTGGGGGAAGGACCCTGAGCTTGTGTGTGAAATTGAATGATACCAGTTAGAGAAAACCTGTCTACCCTCAACACACAACCTGGGCTCTGAAACCCAGCTCCTTAAGAGAGGCTGGACTCTCTTCTTCTCTGAAGTAGCCCACAGGAGAAGTGGAAGCTTGAGTCAGTCTACCGTCTGTCACCAGCTTAGCTGTCTTGTGATAGAGTTCTTCCCAGATAATGAGAAGGTTGTCTTACATTAGAGCGGGGGGTCTCTGATTGTTGTCTCAAGTGGTGTTTTATTATTGGACTTCTGTGGAAGCCACGGATGATCCACAATAAACAAAATTTTCAAGCAAACCCCTCAGTTCACTTGGCACCAAGATACCTTAGGCTAGAGTTCAATTATCAACTTTCTAGTTTTATCTTCCGACCTTCCGCCGCATGCTTTGGATACTTGAGAGACAAGAAGGACAGACCTGTCCAACAATCACCAGCTAGTGATTAGTTGAATATGCTGTAAGAGGACAAAGACAGACAGACTCAGCAGGCCTGAGTAGAGAGGATCTGCTGGGAACATCTGGCAGAACCCTTGGTAAAGTATGTATTTAATTCCCTCCCCTAAGAGAGCTTTGCTCAGATTCCAAGAGAGGCTGGGGACATTGAGTCTAAGAGAACCATTTACTTTGCCACTATTGTTTATGCAGCTGGCTGTAGCTGTGGCCATAATGCTGTCAAGCTGAAGAAGGAGTTTTATCAAGCATGGTTAGCTTTTGGGAAGCTTGAGACAGCAAGCAGGTATTTCAAGCCCGAGTATGCTGTTCCCAGGTGGTTGCAAAGGCAAAAACGTGAACCTCAGAGGAGTTTGATAACACCATGGAGAAAGATTATTGATCGGTCTCAAAAATTCTAGCAAACCACCCAGCACCTCCTGTGAGGGACGCAGTGCTTCAATAAAACATTTTTTAGTGTAAGTGTATTTAGTCCTCAATACATCTGTCCTTAACAACAGCATCAGTTTTTCTAGCACTGGCTTTGCTTTAGTTATTTATTTGTTGAGGTCACTGCAGTGCCTCACCATATAATTTCGATTAATCTATTACATAGTCAGTCTATCAATCTAAGGCCAAGAGTTCCAAACGTATCCCGATACAAGCTGTCTCTTAGAGGGGACTTCAGTTTTTTCCAGTGCAAGTATCAAGAAAGAGAGAAAAAATACTTTTTTTACTCTCCAAATGAATGGGGTAAGAACAGCTCACGCAAGAAATGTTCTGTTGTCCGGTTTATTTTTGTTATCTCCCAAAGTTCAGTACCATTTGTTGTAGACATCTTAGTCCTTTGAAGAAAAAAAACATATTCAGCAACAATTTTCGCTGTGCCGGATGTGAAGACATTTTCATTGACAATAGGCATCTGTCCTCTGTCTCAAAGCATTTCCTTCGTTTTGCACATTGATAGAATGTTTTATGCTTTTCCAGAATCACATGATCACTCATGGTCAATGACACATTGTCACATTGTAATGGCGATCTCTACAGTAAATAGTTTGTAAGCAGTGTGCTGCCATAGCGCAAAGATGTCTGCCTTCAGAAATGGTAGACCTACTACCATTAACATACTTTAAGTTCATAGATGATAATAAATAATATATGCGAATGGAATATATTCTGTATTTGAATCCCTTAAATTATTACACACCACACCCTTTTTAGAGTGGTGAAAAATACCTAATATTAGAATAATTAAAAACTAAAGGCTTTTGCAAATCTGAGCTACCTTGTGTAGCTCAAACCACAGTTCATTGTGAAATTTGACAAGGTAATTTCTTTCAACATTGTGAAGCCAAGTAGGCATTAATAATGCATGTTACATTCTGCCACACATTTATTTATGGAAGCATGAGTAGCCATTCTAAGCCAAACACTTGTTTTTGAAACTGTGCATCACAAACTGTGGCCTCTAAAATTATCTGACTGTGCAAATTCAGGGATCAATAAGATTTTAGAAGAGAGGAGAAAAAACAAAGAGAGGAATGTTTGAAAAACTTTAAAACCAAGTGGATTTTAGACAAAAGTTGTTTGAGTGCCTTAGGCTAAAGGACATTTTGTTGACATTGCTAGTCCTCTCTGCTCTTTTTTCAAAGGTACTGAAGATTAAAGGAAGTTTCTGCTCTAAAAAAAAACAAAAAAACTAGCTACTTGTTTTAAGAAGGTAAAATCCAGAGCTAAACCTACTACACAGAGATCAGTCAGCAAAAATTGAATCTAAACAAAACCAGAATACCCTGGAAAAAGTAACTTGTATTTTCTAATTAAAGTTGGCCGGTGTTTCTATTTTCAAACACATTATAATAATAGCCAATTATTAAATTATTGTATAACAATAGTTCTTAAAGCCTTCTTTATTCTTTTTTTGCCCATCTAAAGCCATCCTGTGCAACAGTAACTGTTTCTTTCCATCTGTCCTGATATCTATCCTGTTTACATAGCCATTTTACTTAAGACTTGCTCACTGTTAGTTTTTCCATCCACACCCTTCAGGACAGAGAAATCAAATACTTTCTGTAAAGCTATTGGCAGGAGGGACTGAAGAAAAAATGTCATAAATTGACAGTGATGTGTCAAAGGGTTAGATTTAATCAGGCACACAAATGACCCACTAACAATGAATCATAACTAACCCTTCATACCAAAAACAACTTAACTTGCTATGAAAACAATTTTTTCTCACTCCAATGCAAACTTATGTTCAAATTTTTTATGCATGTTCTTGCACCAGAGCACTCTATGATAACACTATGATGTTTACCGACAAGTCAGAGATGTGTTTATGAAGATCCATAAACACTTTTGTTCCTTCACCAATCAGACAATTACCAAGAAGCCTTATAAAGCCATAGTATGAGGTGTTGGGAAGGCTCTCTCATCACATCGAAACTGTTTTAATTCATGATCAAGACCTGCCTCTCTGACCTACTTTTCAGGGAAAAAAGGGGGGTGGAGAAGGGAAAAAAAGAAACTCCCCAGGGTCAAGCCTTTCATTACTGCATCCCCTACTGCTGAAAAAATAATAAGATGAAGCTAAGTTTCTGAACACTTTTCTTTTAAATTTCTCAAATTCCCCTCAGCCAATACATCCAACAGGTCCTCCATATTAAACATATTCCTCAGATGCTTACAGAAAAGTAAAGAAATAATATTGGAAACTGTTCATATGCAACAGTGTATCAACAGAAAAATTGTCTGACAAAAATGAAACAAAAACTGAATTATGATCAGCTTAGGTGTTTTTTTAATACCTGCCTTTAATTCACATGCAACCATAGTGGATTTCATGTGAGCAGACTGCATAAAACCATCAATCAATCAATTTTTTTTTCAAATATGTTTAAAAATCATCTTTTGTTTAAAAAAGTGGGATGCACAATATATGATCAACATGATCAATATTAGTAAAATGTTGATCAATGTAGATTTATTGTGCTTTGTTTTATTTGCGATGTCTAAAATATAATATTGTCACTACTGAGTACATAATTACAGAAAAATCCAGTAAAACATACTGTTTTCAATGTGAGTCAAACTGCACAAAAATGTAGTGGACAAGAGTAGGTAACCATCATGTGCTGGTAAAGATTCTCAGTCATACAGGTGATAGCCATTCAAAAAAAAAGTTAAAAAAAAAAAAACAATCTACTGGACTTTGTCTCCAAGTTGGAAGATGTTTTGCTTCCCATCCAGGAAGCTTTTTCAATTCAAATCATCAATAGCGTTGAAATAGCGTTGAGTTTGAGTCTTTTAAGAGTGGACCAAAAATGCAAAAGGGAAATCAGAAACCCAGCAGAGAGAGTACCAGAACCAGAATGGTTGTGCCAAATGTGACAGGTATAAATACACCATAAGGGTGAACCAAAGTGTTTAGAGTTTGAGACCAAATCAATAAAAAAAAAAAGTTTAATGTGTTAACATCTAGTTTTAGTGTCTATCAGCCTTGGAAAAACAAATTAATTTTAGGTTTTTGTTCAAATTTTAGTTTAACATCATCAATCTTACAATGGAGAAATTCACTTCTGCATCTTAACCCATCCTCTTGGGAAGCAGTGGGCTGCCACTTAGCGGCGTCTGGGGAGCAATCGGGGGTCAAGGGTCTTGCTCGGGGACCCAGAGTGCAGGTTGTGGGGATTTAACCAGGTACTTGCACCCTTCTCAGAGCACAAGCGCACTGCTTTAACCACTAGGCCACCACTCCCCAACACACAACAGTCAAAACGGCATGTTTACCATATCAGATATGTATCTGATACAATGTTCAAATATTTGTAGAATTAAAAATGAAATAAATGTTTGATCTTTCTGAACAAAAGATATCTACCTTTAAATTGAAGAATGACTAATACCAATCAATTGGGCTTATCAAAGGAGACAACATAATTGAAAAGAAACACTAAAATAACGCTTATTTTGTTTTTGTAATCTCTTGGTATTTACATGTATGTTTTCCTCAACAACTTTAAAAAAATCACAGGAGAAACAACTATTACCATCTTGCACCTTTAAATCCACATTCAATGTTTTGGTTTGCAAAAGAAACAGATGGAAAAGTGTGCCCTGTTTCAGCCTTTGTTGACAAAGAGGTTCCTGCACAGCATCTACTTAAACTTGCAAACTGACAGTTGGTTTCTCTACTTGCAGTGAGTCCTACCTCCAAGGCAGCAGACCTCTTCTGCAACAGCTGTTCTATGTTCCTGGCTGCTCTGGCCACCAGCTCTTCTGCATCATTTTGCTCTACAGTATAGAGGTTCCTGTTTCTCAGAAAAATCTAGATAAAAATAGAATAAAACAGAACACACAAGCAGATATGGGAATTGTATTTGTATTAGTCATTTAAGGAAAATTGTTGTTTTATGTAAAATTGTGCTTAAAATGAAATACAGGAGTTAATGGATTTGAATATCAAACAAGAATTTGTATCACTGTCTTGTTGATCCGTTACTGAGAGCACACTATCTTTAAATTCAGTTTTTACAAATTTTACCTCGGTAAGGCTCTTCCCAGCTGTGGCTGTGTCTGCCAAGGTGACAAGCTCTTTCTGCATTTGCTCAACCCATTCTTTAATCCTATGGGATAAAGCAAAACATAGAATCAATCTTGTAACTAAAATGTTCCCAATGTAGAAGAGAAGTCAAAAGCATTTCAATGCACAATTAAGCTGTCATTCATCCCATTTTCTACCTATTATCTGTCAAGGAAAACCAGTCACATTACAATGAAATAAACAAAAGCATAAACATTCCCACCTGCAGGTCAAGCAGAGTGACATTCAATCTAGAATGAATGACCACAACAAACATAAAGTCATTTGATAAAACATTTGTCAGCAGCTGCCTACCACTGAATTTTCTATCAAGGAGTTCAAACATTAAGTCAAATAATAAGGAAAGTGTCAGCCATCAGGGAGAACTTATGTGCATAGACAGGTGAGAAAAGGGAGACATGTCAGGATCAATATGTCTCTCTGACTATCAAAGACCACAGGCTAGTTTAAGCTTCCTTATAACAGTATGTATTAGAGTGAATTTGATTTTGCTCTATTTTTTATGTCCTAAAAATGCAATATTACCGCACTTCAGGTGCTTTATAGTTTATTAAAAATCCAATCAAAAAGTGTATTCATTTATGTAAGTAATTAAATTTTAAAAGAAAAGAAAGGCTCCCCTGTTGTTTAGTTAATGAAAATGATGTATTATATTAGAAAATCAAGGTCCCAGAGGCTAAAGAAAGGAGGGAGGGGGTTCAATGGACTCCAAGTGTCGTAATGTGTAGGTTCAAGCTTCCATAGTTTCTACCGCTTGGAGAGGACATTTCAACTATATTTCATCTACAGTACTAGCGTTGGTCAGGTGTTAGTCCAGAATTAATTGAAAAATTTACCATATTACTATTAGACATTTGTGAAATATTTATGCTTCCCTGTGCTTATAGCTTTTTTTTATTTTTTATTTTTTGCAACTGAACCTCCACTGCTTAAAGTATCAATTTTATGGTTATTCCCTTTTGAACTTTGAGGTTTCAGTTATCTTCTCTGTCATTCTGTTTTGTTGATCTTTGGTTTATTTACCATTGAGTGTTATATTTAAGCTGCGTTGCTTTTTTGAGTTACTCTCTGTTGCCCCCTTGTGCCTATCTTCTTTCCCCTAGCTCCCTTCTAGTCACTTCTATCCACACCTGCTCCATATGAGCTGAATACCCCAGTCTTTGTTCTGTCTCCTATATATACTCTCCCTGTGCAATTCTTCAGTGTTGGTTTCTTGTGTTGCTTGGCTCCTCGTATGTGTTTTCCCCTGGATTTTGGTTTCTAGTATTTTGTTTTTTTGATTTTGTTTCTGCTGCCTTTCTGATTTCATTAAACCTGCAAGAACTTATCTCTGCCCTCCTCATCTCTGCATTTGGGTCCTCAACCAGCCTTCACCCCCACATTGACAATCAACTTCTGATTTAATTTTTAAATTTTGTGTTGTACGATAATACGGAATTTCCCTGCAAACTGGCTTGAACCATAGTCAAACTACTATGTTACCAAAAGGAAGATGAGAAATGCCAAACACAACAATGTTGATGAAAAAAAAAAGAGTTCTTTGACAACTTAGCAGTGCTGCAGGCTGTTTGCCTCTTTACAATGCCAAATAGGTGCAAAAAAAAAAAGAAGCCCCAACAAAAAAAAAATAAAGTAGGTATACTGCAGTGATTTTTGTTGTTTTTGTTTGCTTGTTTGTTTTTGTTTGAAAACTTAAAACACACTGCTCAAAATAATAACAGGAAAAAAAACATAACTTCAACCAAATAACACTTTCTGTGAAATCAAACTGTCCACTTAGGAAGAAACAATTATTGACAATCAGTTTCACATGCTCTGGTGCAAATGGAATAGAACACATGTGGACATTATTTGCAATTAGCAAGACACACTCAGTAAAGGAGTGGTTCTGTAGGTGGAGACCACAGACTACTTTTCAGTATCTTTGCTTTCTGGCTGACGTTTTGGTGAATTTTGAAAGCTTATGGAGCTTTCACCCTTGTGGTGGCATGAGATGGACTCTATAACCAATTTTTTATTTTTTTTATATCGGTATTAGGAACTGAGAGATAAATATAATATTGGGCAGTTGTAAATCAGAATGTATCACCCAACTGATTTTTTTCCCACACCAATACTTGCAATAGGAAATCATTGTTTCCATGTCTTGTTCATTATCATAGGGTCAGACCAGAATAATATCAGTTTATTTGTGGGTGAACACATGAAAAAGCTATACCATAATGCTTAGAAAGACCAACCAATAGGCATAGAGAATTATGTCCCAATGTTCAACTGCAATGGATATAAAAAATACACAAGCTAAATTCTTTTCAAAGCCTGCTGCTGTTGGGGAGCCACAAGACATATCCCAAAACAATAAAGTAAATCAACTATTACATTGTACAGTCACTCTGAGTAACAAGACAGAGTGAAAAAGAGGATCAAAAAGCTGTAAAAAAAAAAAAAAAAGAGAGACACCAATACACAGTGGATGTGGAAAGTTCAGCAAAAGTACACTGAAGGAGAAACATGAGACACGTTGCAAGAAAAACCAGAGGGAATAACACAATGTAAAAAAAGTCATTTAGATAAATAATGAAAGCCAAGATATTCTGATTTTTGACTTCCAAACTAAAAAATCCTGCCAGCTATTTAATTACTGCAGGAATACTACGCATAAGCTGTAAAAGTTGGAAGATTGTAGAAATGTACATTTTGCTGGTGAATATTTTCCGTCATCCAGGTCATAGTCATTCCAACCAAGTTAAAAAAGTGAAAGAAAATAAAATAAAATTAGTTTTCTAAGTTTGAAGATGTTACATATCAGCTGTATATTTAGTTAATAACACTAGCTATCTATATATTATATTCATGGGATAAATCTATCAGTAAAATTCTGTTTATAATGGTATTCATCTCTATATTTATTCAGTAGAAACCCATGTTCTGTACTTATGGAACCATTATTTATCCTGCACTTGCTGCTATTGCACTTCTGGTTAGACCTAAACTGCATTTCGTTGCCTTGTACCTGTACCTGTGTAATAACAATAAAGTTGAATCTAATCTAATCTAAGTTTCGCTTCCCGTCCAGGAAGCTTTTTCAATTCAAAATGTCTGGAGTAGCATTTGAGCTCCAGGCTTAAAGAGTGGCACAAACAAAAGCATTGTTAAGGCTTTGAAAACATGCAAATTGACCGAAAAAACAGGTCCACCACTAAGTAATGGGGAGTTGTTGAGGTCGTTGTTGACCTGCGAAACCCGATACTGGCCCATGCTCTGAAAAGGGAGTCGTTAAGATCATTGTTGGCCTGGCTGACCAGGCGAGATATTTTGGTCCCTTGCTTGGCGATGAGGTTTGAGATGATAGCGGGAAAGCAGGACCCTAAGACAGAGGCTAGTGCCGGGATTCCTGCATTTATGACGGCAGTACACACATACAAGTTGCATATATTTGGAAATATGAATGGCAACGCGAAAAAATTGGATTTCACAAAAAAATTGGAATTTAGCATCAAGCCTGCAGTGTGAACGTAGCCTAAGTTAAGAGAGCAAAACCAACCTTAAAAAAGTGTGGGGGGGTCTTAGGTTCCAGCTCTCAAAACCCTACAACGCAGGGATGGAGTTGATTACTTCCTGGATTCATCTGAAAAACTATGTCGTCATGCAGGGTACCAAACATCTCCAAAACATCTCGCCAAAACATCTCGCCTGATCAGCCAGGCCAATAATGACCCTAATGACTCCTTTTTCAAAGGCTTGGGCCACGACCCCATTACTAAGGGGTGGGACTGTTTCTTCGGTTCAATTTGCATGTTTTCTAAGCCATAACAATGCTTTTGTTTGTTCGACTCTATAAGCCTGGAACTCAAAAGCTACAACAGATATTTTGAATTCAGAAAGCTTCCTAGATGGGAAGCGAAACATCTTCAAACTTCAAAACAAAGGCCCAGTCCCATTTCTCTCACTTGGTTCTGCAAACACCCAAATGAGTTCCCTCCACAGTGAAGTACACTCAATGAGTGAAGTGCAATTGAAGATTTTCTCCTTAAGAAATTAGACGCCACTAGTTGTAAAATTACATCTCAGCACAGTAGATGGTGGTAATAAATAGCCTGTACAATTCAGAGATGTGTTCACCTACATCATGCGTAAACACAACCTGAGTCACAACCTTCTGGATGGAACCTCTGCCATACTCATAACCTTTCACCAAACACATGCATAATATTGAACAACAAATACATTACAAAATGTAAAAGTAATGAATCAGCTTGCATAAATAAAGGTATCACAACCATTTCTAAATTAATAGACAATCATGGTAATATATTAGCTACCACAACTTTTTGAAGAAATATCAGTTTCCAATAAGATACAAGGAATACAAATCAATTATACTGTGCATCCTCATTGTATTCTAAACCTTATTAAAATCATCACAATTTTCTCCAACTGTAACCACCAAATGGTTTCTCAACACAAAGAATTTTCTTGGCACCAAATTCAAAAACACATACGCAACACATTTCAATAATCCAAAAGCTTCCAACCAAGATCAAATTCTACTGAAACTCCATATATTTAATAGAGTACACTGGAGCAAATCATGGTCACTACCTCATCAATACCCTTTTACCAATACAATCTGTGAGATTCATTTAAAAATTCTTTATAACATATCCTTCAAATAATGAATTTGCTAAATATCTTGAAATAAATACAAAATTGTTCCTTTTGCAATATTTAACCTGATATAACCCCTCACCAACAGTATTCATCACATTTCCTGTAACCACATCCTTCATGAAAAGTAATAGAGCAATACTTATCTCAAAAATTTACCTTCATTATAACCCTCTCTATCCATAGCATTATCACTTTTTTTACACACCCAAACAAGGAACTGGTAAACCTAATTAATCTATCCCTCTTTATTGGCGTTAGATACCTAAATAAAGAAATACATATAATCTGCAAAACATATCAACAATAAACAAACTAACTCCATCGTTAACATATACCAGAAACTGATCCTTC